TCCAGGCCCCGCCCCGCCCGACTGAGGGGCGGGGCCAGAGCGGGGCCAACTGGCCCGGTGGGGGCGTGGCCCGCGAGCCGCGTGCTGGGGGCGTGGCCAAGCTGCCGGCGACGCGCGCCTCGCGTACCTCTCACCTTCCGCCGCCGCTGGTCTTGTGCTCCCAAGGCCGCCGCTTTCCCCCAGCGCCTCCCCAGCGGCCTCGCCGCTCAGCGTCCTCGGCCCCGTGCCGCCCTCCCGCCCTTGCCCTGCCGGGTGTGTGCATCTCGGTGCGTCGGCCCGCAGCTCCTGCTAGCCTGAGACCACGCAGCCCGCGCCCGCCCGCTCTCGCGCGACAGCTGAGGCTGCAGATAGTGGTCCCCGCGCGATGGCCTCGTCTGTCCGGCTTCGTACACAACAAGTGCGCTTTGCTCTCCAGCACGAGGAGGCAGCCCTTACTACAGTCAGGGTGCCAGGTTTTGTCACATTTTCTTTACCTTTTAAAAAAATGCGTTTAGGACAGGGTCTACAGGGTGTACGGGGTCTCACTACATAGATCAGACTAGTGGTGATTTTCCTGTTTTCAGCTTCCAAGCGCTGGAATTACAGGCGCGCACCACCACGCCTGCTGTCAGTTGCCCTCCCACCGCGACCCGGGGCAGGGGCCCGGCCGGGCCGGCACTGCGTCGGCCTGAACGCTTTAAGACGTTTAGCTATCTGGCTGGCCAGTTTTGTCTCATTTTCTTTTGCAGCGCTGGGGATTGAACCCACGGCTTGCCAAGATACACCTCCAGCTCTTAGTGTGAGCGGGTATCCTGCCAAGGTGCCTGGACTCCGCTGGAATTTGCAGCCCTCCTCTCCTGCCTTAGCCTTCTAAATAACTGGGATTATAGGTGCGCTTGTTTTGCTTTTTGGCGATTCCCCTGCCTCAGCCTCAGTGCTGAATTAAAGGCGTGTACCACCATGCCCAGCTAAGCCTTTAAAACCCTTAATCAGGACTTGGAAACACTATAAAGGGGACTGAGTGAAATCTAAATGCCTGTGTTTTTCCGGAGCATTTGAAATCCACAACAAAGGCTATTTTTAGATGCACCCTTGACTGAGTAGAGGGAGGAGTTAAGCTGTCCCCTCCTGAGGCCACCAGCTCCTTATCTCTCATTGCTGGGGACAGGGTACAGGGGACTCCTGTCATAAGCAGAGGCCTTTCACAGCCGACCCAGACCTTGTACCTGCCTGGGGTGGAGTTTCACAGCTCAGACCCCGCCAGACCCAGCTGAATTTCAGTGTGGCTTTTGTTTTTCGCCTTTCCAGCGCTGGAGATTGAAGCCCTTCGTTTTATTGAGCTACAATCCCAATCCACCCCTTTTCTTTCTTATTTTGAGACAAGGTCTTGCTAAATCTCTCAGGCTGGACTCAAACTTGCGATCCTCCTGCCTCAGCCTTCTAGAGTGTAGAGATTACAGGTATGAATCAGCCAGGCTAGCTGGCTTTTTTTTTTTTTTTTTTTTTTGATGATTGGAAAAAAGTTTTAAAAAGACTAGTGTTTCATGATGTGAATTAGATGAATTCAAAATTCAGATTTCATTTCTGTGGCTCAAGAGTGCGTCTTCCTGCTCTCCAGGTGCTCTGTCATCAGCCAGCAGTGGCCACTGGCTTCAGCAGAGGCTGTGTGGCGAGCACCACCAGAAGTGCTTACTACCTGACTGTTTCTAAAATCGAGCGGCAATGCCTGCCTCCTAATCGTTCATGAAGAATAAGGAACAGGCACCCTGCTTTTTCATATATTTATGCACAAGTTCAATACATCAGAGAAAACGGACTGACCATAGACTTATTATCGCTGCGCATGAAATGCTCAAGCATGGGTAAGGGGGCCGATTTGCTTGGGCTGTCAGCCCCAAGAGCTGTGAGATTTGGGCTTGGACAGTAGGAGGCAGGCCGTCCAAGACATGGACTCCAAGACAAGGACTCGGGTGTTTTTGTCTTTAGCCAGCTGCTGAGTTTCTGTGTACCTGCCGGGTTTTGTGCTGTCACAGCATGTGCTAAATATCACATAGAGAATATTGATGTGCTCTGTGCAGCAAGAGTAAGCGTAGTGCTGTATGGGTGAGTGCACTGTACAGCGATTTATTACCTGTCCTGCGAAGAACCAGAGCGGACAATGAAGTGACGGATGTGCAAGGAGACAGAGATGCTCACTGCTCAGCTTTGCTGGAGTATGACTTGATCGCTGTTCATTATGCACGTGTACAACTAACACGCACTACCCCGTAAATAAGTGCAATTGTTATGTACCCATTAAGACCACCATTTTGGGGCCGGCCCAATAGCTCAACGGACTAAAGCGCCTGCTTTGGCACAGCACAGTGGCCTGGGTTTGATCCCCAGAATGCAGTGCCAGCCCTGGCCCCAGGGCACTCTGAGACAGCAATTGAGACTGGGCGTGGTGGCTTGTGCCTGTAATCCCAGCACTTGGGAGGCTGAAAACAGGAGGATCACTATGAGTCCCATCTGTGGAGTGAGACCCTGTACTAAATTCATTAAAACTATCATTTTACTAAATTGTACGACAGTGCACGTAAGCCAACTGTCAGGGTGCACATCTGTAATCCAGGCAAGGTAGGAAGATTATCAGAAGTTGAGGCCAGCTTGGGCTATGGAGTGAGACCATCTCAAAAAAACAAAATAACAACAAAAAGAAAAATAAAGATGTATTTCCCTTTTGAAAGCTTCTATAAAATGGAAACTACTTTTAACTGTTCGAAATACTTTTTTTTTTTCGAGGCAGGGTCTTGCTATGTTCTTCAGGCTGGCCTCAAATTCGTGGTGATCCTCCTGCCTCAGCCTCCCAGTGCTGGGATTACAGGTGTGCGGCACCAATCAGGTGGGATTACAGGTGTGCGGCACCAATCAGCGCATGCTTCTGTTGTTCTTTCTTCCTGTTACAGCCGGTTCCCTATGCATGTCCTCGTTACAGTTCTGCGGAGGCTTAGCAGACACCCTCCTGGCAGAATGAGCCACCTGACACGTGTTTGAAATGCTAATGGATAACATTTTTGAGATTCTAGCAGTTATAGGTAAACCTGGCAAAAACTCACAGGAAGTTGCAAAGCTGGTGGAAGGGCATACTTACAGAATAGCAGATTGCAGGCACATTACAGTATAAGTCAGAAATAAATTATAGCATGCAAAAAATATATGTTGTCTCCAACACCTTGCTTCAAGGACTTCCTGTCTGGGACTGACTGGCCCAGTCAAAGACCCTTTTAATTCTACTTGCTCCCCTCACACCCCCTTCCCTCTTTCCCAGAATGTTTAGTAAATCTGCCTGACAACATATGACGTAAGTTGTGTATTCCAAGTAACCTATCACGTTAATAACCTGCTTTCAGCTTTGTACCTCCCACTCACATACCATATTTAAACTGAACTCAAACGGGACTCAGGGCTGGTGATCTGAACCTAACCTCTGGTTTCCCCAGCCGGGTAGCACTCCTCGTGCGAAGAGTCTTCTGTTTGGATTGCTACTGGTTTTTCTGTTACAGTGGTGCAAAGGCTTCCCTGTGGATGGAAGGGATCCACAGCAATGTCTTCCATTTGCGTAGTGCGACAGGCATGCAGCAATTTTAGTTTGATTGTTTAGCAGAATCCCTTTTTGAAGGAGAAAGGCCAGCTTGCTTCTGGTGCTGGTTCACTGTAGCAGAAGTGACTGTGAGCCCTGCCTCAAAATAGTTACATGCCGATGCCGCTGGGTGTGATGGCTCTGGGTGTCATTCCTAGTACTGCAGCGAGGGAAAATGGAAACAAAAGCAACAACAGTGAGCCCGCTGCCTTTATGGTTTGTAATAAGGCATGTGATGAAGAAAGCACTTGCGCCTCGTGTGACCAGTACACGCCTTACACTGGTTCCTAATGGTCACACTGTACCCTGTGGACATGAAAGATTAAAGTAATGTTTAAAAGACATTGTATCCCCTGGCTACAATGGAAAGGTAGCTGTGTCAGATGCTTAGAATTCCTGGCTGTAGATCTTTATATCTGTAGGATTTTGTACTTCGAGATTCCAAGACTCGCATTTTATGGAACAGTGATCCAAAAGATGCGGGCAGTTAGATGGCAGAACTTGGTGACAGAGTGACTGAGACCTTTGCTCTGCTCTCTAGACATCCCCAGTGGCCTATTCCAGATCTGAAACAAGATTTCACAGTAACATTCCTGGGATTTCGTAATTGTGCTTTTTATCTGACATTGGGAAAGCAACGCCGGGTGAAGGAGTCGGTGTTCTCTGGCTGGTCAGCCAGCTCTCAGCACTCTATATTGTTTGATCCTCCTCCCTCAGCCTCCTGAGTGCTGGGATCACAGGCTTGCCTCACCACATTCTTTTTTTTTTTTTCTCCGAATGCCTTCAGGGCAGGTTTGGCTGGCTTGAGTTGTGGGGATTGAACCACAGCAACCTGAGCCTGACTGCTTGGTTGAAGCAGCCACTTAAAGAACTGAGCTAAGGGGCAGGCCCCCACCACATTCATTTTTATCCTTTATTTTTTATTCAGTGTCCTTCTCTGGGTTCACACTCTACTGTTTTAAAATACTTCCCATGGTCTGATTTGGGGTGGGGGAAGCGAGCCCCCTTCCTCAAATATTCCTTGTTAGCCAGGTATGGTGGGGCATGTCTGTGACCCCAGCATTTGGGAGGCTGAGGCAGGAGGATTGCAGCAAGTTGCAGGCCAGCCTGGGTTACAAAGTGAGTTCGAGGGCAGTCTAAACTGTATAGCATGACCCTGTCTCAAAGGGGAAAAAAAATCCCTTTTCAACAACCTGTGCCTGAGACTTAGGGCTTTTGTGACTAACAGCGCTAATGGGGGAGCTGCGTTGGGCATAGGGTGAGGGTTCCCCAGGAATTCCCACATGGGACACCCCTGGCATGACAGTTTTGCTTGGGGACACCAGAGAGAGTGCGCGGACTAGGTAAACAGGAGCTGGAACTTTGGTTGCATCTCCCAGCACTGAGGCCCTGGAGTCACAGGGATCCCAGGACTCCTAGATTCTGAGCTTGGGGGTCAGGGCGGGGCTGGGCTCTCATTTGTCACAGTGCCTGGTCTCCTAGGACAGCTCAGCCACAAGGGGCCGTGGAGCACAGCAGCTGAGAAGCCAGGCAGCCAGGTGACGGACCTCATTCTGCCCAGGGCTTGAGGCTGCTTGGGTTTTGTTTTGCCTACTGGGGTGGAACCCAGGCCCTCAGTTCTGAGCCCTTCCCCAGCCCTTTTCAGTTTCTGGATTGGAGACAGT